TCTTCTTGTCCACATCATTAACCTTTACTTTTCATTCTCCCCTCTCCTCTTTCCTTCCTCATCGTTCTCCCTCTCCCCTTTCCTTCCTCATCGTTCTCTCCCTTTCTTTCCTAATGCCTAGTCCAAAACATGTCTAAAATCCGTTAATTTCTCCTCACCCTATCGTCTAACCTGTCCACATCGTTGGTTTGACTTGACAATAGTTCAGTATCAGTGTTAGAGTCCAAACTGTTCTCTTTAACAGCATTTTGCCGAGTAATCTGTCCATGCCGGGGAGAATTCCAAACCGGTTTTACAACTTTTCTACTTCAATAATACCGTTCAATTATCACATTTATATCTTTTTATTTGAGGTCAAGACATTTTGTTGTGATACTCGGGATCTACATCTTATATAACTTAGATATCGAGATCAAGTCTTCAGGATTATAGATAGTCCACTCAAAAGTTCTGACAAAATGAAAAAAAAATCATCCAAATTCAAGGAAAAACAATTTATAAATTTAATAATTTTTTTCTAGGTATAATCTCATTCATCCAAGAAAATTTTCATTTCGTTATTTATATAGAATTCTTCCTTGTATTTAAAAAAACATTTCTTTTTTTAACATACTTTCCGAGAAGCTTTTCAAGTAAGATTAAATAACCTTACTACTTAAATATTCCATTTAATTTTATTGTTGTCTGACTTTTAAAATTTGTCTTTCATGGGTATTATGTTTTCCTTGAGCTTTTACTTTCTGATATGGAGAGAGCAACCCCTTGGTCCGTACTGCACTCATCTTTAATGTAATATTGTTAACTTAAACAAAATTTAAATCAACTTTTTTTCAAATTAATGAAAATATTGGGAAAAACTTTGAAAAACATTGTACTTTCTGATCCCGAAATTTAAACCAAATTTGATTTCAACAGGAACATAAATTTTGTTTAAATAAATATCGTCTTTGTTATTAAGATATATATTGTTAGTTTATAACCTGTATCTAATCTGTTAAAGTGTTGCGTTGGAGATACAAAGGTATTTATTTTTTTCTTGAGAACTGATCCTCTCACCCCTGTTCTACCCCCGCCACTGTACGAGGTTACACCACTATCATCTAGGATATTAAAGGACAATATAAAAGTTATCTTTAACTCACAAGAATTTAATTTCAATTTATAGAAACAGTCAGTACAGTTTTACACAGTCTCATCAAAAACGAATAAAATATTCTGCTTTTTTCCCGTCTTAAAATAGAATAGAACAGAATAGAATAAAATAGAATAGAAAAGAATAGAATAAAATAGAATAGAACAGAATAGAATAAAATAGAATAGAACAGAATAGAATAAAATAGAATAGAACAGAATAGAATAGAATAGGAAAAAGAATAGAATAGAATAGAATAGAATAGAATAAATAGAAAAGAATAGAATAGAATAGAATAGAATAGAATAGAATAGAATAGAATAGAATAGAATAGAATAGAATAGAATAGAATAGAATAGAAAGGATAGAATAGAATAGAATACAATAGAATAGAACAGAGTAGAATAGAATACAATAAAATAGAAAAGAATAGAATAGAATAGAAAAGAATAGAAAAGAATAGAATAGAATAGGAAAAAGAATAGAACATAATATAATATAATAGAATAGAATAGAATAGAATAGAATATAATAGATTAGAATAGAATAGAATAGAATACAATACAATACAATACAATACAATACAATAGAACAGAGTAGAATAGAACACAATAAAATAGAAAAGAATAGAATAGAATAGAATAGAATAGAATAGAATAGAATAGAATAGAATAGAATAGAATAGAATAGAATAGAATAGAATAGAATAGAATAGAATAGAATAGAAAATAATAGAATGCTATAGAACAGGATGGAAGAATAAAAAAAGAAATTAAAAAAAAAATTTAATTACAATATGTGGTTACAATATACGTTATAATTATCTTGAAGAGATATCGTGGTTAACCTTAACAAACCCTGGAGAAATGTTAAAAGCAATAATAATTCCAGCAGTCTATTTTTAAACTTGAATTAAATTATTAATTCACAAATTTCAGTGAATTGTTTGTTGATTTATAAAATTATTAAATCTTAAAGTATTTTTAAAGAGAAATAAAGAAAAATTTAATCTACATTACTTTATTTCCAACCTTTAAGAGCAAATAAAAGGTATTGAAATAGACTAGCCCCCCTCCCTTGTAATAGTAAAATGGAAAGGAAGAATAGTAAACCATTGATTTAACAATTCACAGTACAGTCGCGGAGTACAAGAGAGTCTGCTTTCTTCAAAACAATATTCTACAACACTAGAGCTTTTTAGGGAACAATATTCTACAACACTAGAGCTTTTTAGGGAACAATATTCTACAGCACTAGAGCTTTTTAGGGAACAACTTAACCTCATAAATGTTGCTGTTAAGGCGGCCATTTTTTTAATCTCAAGCCGAGAAACTAAAATATTTCGTAGATTTCTCTGTTCACATTCATGAATAATAAAACCCTAGGGTTAAGTAAAATGCCGCAAAGATTGGCCTGATCGATTCAGCTGTTTTCGACGTTTTTGGATTCAAAGGAACAAAGTCCAACACAAAAGTAACAGTATATGTACAAAGCAATAAACGTATTTTTTCCTTAAGATTCAATGTGTTAGTATTGAGTTATAAACAGATGTCTTTGTAATAAGTACTTGATTATAAATGTTTAAGATATTTGATGTAATAATGCCAAGCCGACGTAAACTAAAAAGAAGAAAAAAGTTTAAAGCTTTCTTATTTACTATGTTAAAAAGTCAAAAGTTTTTGAAACAGAATAGAATAGGTTGGTTTTCATGACAAAAGCCATGAAACGTAAATGCTCTTGAGTCCATGAGGTTCAGTAACATTTTCATTTATTACATCTTTTGAGAATTTAATTTCAGTCCCTGTGAAAGGTCAGTACTTTTCTAAAAATATAAAAATATCTTGAAAAAATGTTATTTAGTTTTTGCTGAAAAGTTTTTTAATTATGGATGCTTGATTTCCAGACCACAAATACTTAGTTTATTTTTTTACGCTATTTGATAACTGTCTAATAAATAATTTTTAATAATATAATATATGTCGAAATTTTCTAAAAAATTTGAAAAAACCGAAAAATTTACGCAAGCCCTTTCAAATCATTTCTAATTCTTTGAAAATGGCATGCTTTTCAGAATCTTCTAAATGGGTCCGAAGAAGGGTAAGAAGGGTGCTCTAACCCCTATCCCAGGGGAGGAGAAGGTTGGAGAGAAGGTTGGAGAACTTGACAAGGAGAAATATCAAATACAAATCCGAACCCTAGGTATAATTAGACAAGGAGAAATAACAGATACAGAGCAGAACCCTAGGTATTATTAGACAGGGAGAAATATCAGATACAGATCCAAACCCTAGGTGATAACTAGGTGTAATTAGACAAGGATTAATACTAAATACAGACCAGAACCCTAGGTATAATTAGACAAGGAGAAATAACAGATACAGATCTGAACCCTGGGATTAATTAGACAAGGAGATATATAGATACAGAGCAGAACCCTAAGTATAATAAGACAAGGAGAAATATAGATACAGAGCAGAACCCCTAGGTTTAATTAGACAAGGAGAAATATAGATACAGATCTGAACCCTGGGTTTAACTAGACAAGGAGATATGTAGATACAGAGCAGAACCCTAGGTATAATTAGACAAGGAGAAATATCAGAAACAGATCTGAAACCTGGGTATAATTAGACAAGGAGAAATATCAGATACGGATCCGAACCCTAGGTATAATTAGACAAGGAGAAATATCAGATACTGATCCGAACCCTAGGTATAATTAGACAAGGGGAAATATGAAAGATCCGACAGATTCGTATTTTAGATTTTTATAGTGTGAAATTAGTCATAGGGGAGAATGTAATTTTTAAATCCTAAAGAATTTGAGTTTATCCGATAAATAATTCCATTTTTATCTGATAAGATAATTCCATTTTTATCTGATAAGATAATGCCATTTTTATCTGATAAGATAATGCCATTTTTATCTGATAAACAAAATAACTAGATAGATGTATACATGAATACTAGATAGATGTATACATGAATACTAGATAGACGTATACATGAATACTAGATAGATGTATACATGAATACTAGATAGACGTATACATGAATACTAGATAGAGTGATATCTAGAGAAGGTTTAAATAATAAATGAAAACACGTCTCTTTATTACTTTAGTCTTATTAATATTTTACTTATTTAGAGGAAAAACTAGACAGGAGAAACGAAAAAGTAAGAATTATTAAGAAATAAAATACATTTTGATTTTAATAATAAAAAAGCAAAGTGTGGGTTATCTTGCATTTTATTTCCATAAACATTAGAAACACGTATTTAAGTGAAAGCAAAATTTAAAAATAAAATTCAATTTTAGTTTTAAAAAGATTTAAAAGAATTTGTAAAAAAATATGATCATAATAACTCTCTACTAAAGGTTTCCAGATTCGAGGAGAGAAATCAAGAACTGGAATCTCAAGTCCAACAACTTAGGTTAATATTTCTAAAGTCCAACAACTCAGGTTAATATTTCTAAAGTCCAACAACTTAAGTTAATATTTCTAAAGTCCAACAACTCAGGTTGATTAAAGTCCAACAACTCAGGTTAATATTTATAAATTCCAACAACTCAGGTTAATATTTCTAAACTCCAAAAACTCAGGTTAATATTTCCAAAGTCCAACAACTCAGGTTAATATTTCTAAAGTCCAACAACTTAGGTTAATATTTCTAAAGTCCAACAATTCAGGTTAATATTTCTAAAGTCCAACAACTCAGGTTAATATTTCTAAAGTCCAACAACTTAGGTTAATATTTCCAAAGTCCAACAACTCAGGTTAATATTTATAAATTCCAACAACTCAGGTTAATATTTCTAAACTCCAAAAACTCAGGTTAATATTTCCAAAGTCCAACAACTCAGGTTAATATTTCTAAAGTCCAATAACTTAGGTTAATATTTCTAAAGTCCAAAAACTCAGGTTAGTATTGTATTTCGGGGAAATAAAGTATTGTATTCAGGGAGGATAAAGTATTGTATTCAGGGAGGATAAAGTGTATTGTTTTCAGGAAGAATAAAGCATAGTGTTTAGGGGGGATGAAGTATTGTATTCAGGGAGGATAGAGTATTGTATTCAGGGAGGATAAAGTATTGTATTCAGGGAGGATAAAGTATTGTATTCAGGGAGGATAAAATATTGTAATCAGGGAGGATAGAGTATTGTATTGAGGGAGAATAAAGAATTGTATTAAGGGAGGATAAAGTATTGTATTCAGGGAGGATAAAGTATTGTATTCAGGGAGGATAAAGTATTGTATTCAGGGAGGATAAAGTATTGTATTCAGGGAGGATAAAGTATTTTATTCAGGGAGGATAAAGTATTGTATTCAGGGAGGATATAGTATTGTATTCAGGGAGGATAAAGAATTGTATTCAGGGAGGATAAAGCTGATGTGGTTGGATTTTTGAAAAGAATGTTACAACAACGGACTGATACTATTTCAGAACTCACTGACAGACTAGAGGGGATGAAGGTAACATTTTTAACAATTATAATTGTTTAAACTATTTCTATTTATTGCTTAATCCCCTTTCTTACTTTTTTTCAAATGAGAAAGGAAGAGAATAAGAACTTTTTTGTATTTATATTTCATGTTAATCATGTATTTTTGTATTTATATTTCATGCTAATCATGTATTTTCTTGCTTGCATTGTAAAAAAAATCTAAATCAAGGTTGCGCATGCGTCAGAGCGTAGGAAATATGAGGAACAGATTGCACAATTAAAAACTGAATACACAAGGCAGGGTTTATACAAACAACAATACGTCGTATAAAGCTTCTAAAAATTGACCCTTGAGGTCTGAATTAATAAACAGATAACAGTTGCTCCACTGTAGTCACAGCTAGATAAATTCATATCGGTCATACCAGTTTACCTGGCCAAAACAAACTGATCTCTTTTTAGACTTCTTTCGTTAATTTAAATCTTTATGTTCAAACTTGAAACCCCGACAGGACAAAA